ACCGGAGGCCAGGCTATGGGTGGGGTTCTGCTGGAGGCTCTGTTTGAGGTCAGGTTCCAGCCAACAGGCTGTGGTTTGGAGGGGAGAGTGAGGCCACCTTTCTGCGAAGAACCCCCATGTCCTTCTCCCAAGGGGCCTCCTGGGCCCTCCCGCCCAGCAAGCCCAGTGTGGTCTTCTCACCCGGGTCTGCCCTCAGTCCGCAATGGAGGTCCCGTGTCCAGACTGCAAAGAAATCAAGGGCTTTGCTTGGGGGTTATGGTCACATGAGACCTATACAAGCTTCCAAGTCCCCAAGGTCCTCAAGAAAGGAGGGGGGGGAGGGGGCCGGCTTCCAGCAGCTCCTCACTGACTTGTCCCCGTGGGGCCCCCAGGCTGTTTCATTGAAGACATTCTTCAGAACTGGAGGGAGGACTATGACCTCCTGGAAGAGAATCACTCCTACATCCAGTGGTGAGTGGGTGGGGCCAGAGGGGCGGGGCTTACAGAGCAGGTGCGCTCCCCCTTTCCAGATGCTGGCTTTGCGCTCTGGCCCGTTCTCTCCCCCGCCAGGGGGGGCCGTTCAGGCACCTCGGCAGTCCTGCAGTCTGTGGGTCCGGCAGCGGTACAGAGCCTCTGAGGTTGGGAGCTGAATGCAGACGTGGAGGACAGGAAGAGCAGGCTGGCTTCCCCGGGTGGGTCCCCAGTGCCAAGAGGCCGTGTGGCCCTGCAGAGCCCCTGGGGCGCTCAGGGTGGCAGGGTTCTAACAGTGGCCTGAGGTGATCCTTGCCAGCAGGGCTGCCTTGGGGACCCTTGCCACTGCCCCCCAAATAACGGAGTGCATTTGAAGATGGCATCTTGGAGGCCTCTCCTGGGCACAGAGCATCATGGAGAACAGCTCTGCAGCATTAATAACAAGACAAAAAGAACATAAGAATAAAAAGGAGGGGGCGCCTGGGTGGCTCAGTCAGTTGAGCGTCCCACTTCTGGTTTTGGCTCAGGTCATGATCTCAGGGTCATGAGATCAAGCCCCACTTTGGGCTCTGTGCTCAGCAGGGAGTCTGCTTGAGCATTCCCTCTCTCTCCTTCTGCCCCTTCCCCTGCATGCTCCCACTCTCCTCTCTCTCTAAAAATAAATAAATCTTTAAAAAAAAAAAAAAACGAAAAAAGAGGAGAGCCTGGAATGCCCTGCTGAGCGTGCACGCTGAGCCTCCCGTGGCCACGTGTGCCCCTCCCCTGTGCCCTGGTCCAGAACAGCCTCACTGCGACTTCCCTGCCCTCAGCCCCTGGCTTTGACTCGTGAGAGCCCAGAACACAGGTTCATCCGGCCAGGCTCTCCTAGAGTTGAGCTTTGAACCCCAAGAGGCTGGTGAGCACGTGCCCCGTGGTGGGGAGCCCACGTTTGCCGCTGATGGGACCCGTGCCCTGTCCTTTCTCACAGGCTCTTCCCGCTGCGCGAACCTGGAGTGAACTGGCACGCCAAGCCCCTCACGCTCCAGGAGATTGAGGTGAGCTATACAGGCTGGGAAGCCTCTTCCATCCAGACGGGTCATTGCCTCTGCCCCCTGGTGCTCCCCACAGGCTTTTAGAGAAATCTGATTTTCTTCAGCAGTTTGCGTCAAGTCGGGGAGCCCAGGGCCAGGGCTGTGAGCAGAGTCATGGTGATGGGGGTTTCGTCACACCTGGTTTGGGCTAGAACAGGACACTTGGAGGGATGGGAGGGTCTGGGGAGCCGAGGAAACTGTGTGTTTCCTGCCATATGCTCAGCCCTGGGAGCCCCCCCCCCCAAGCTGTCTCCGGGGGCTGGCAGAATTCCTCTGGGGGCTAAAGCAGATGCCTCAGTCCCCAGTGAGACCTCGTAGCAGCTAGAAGAAGAGTTACATTATGAATTCTCTGGGTTCTTGCATTCTATGACTTCACCCCAAAAGTCTAAGTCCAGGCCTCTAGATGAACCGGGGCCTGAGGGAGGTGTCAGCTAGGCCGATGCACCCGTGATGGGTGAGCCCCCACTGGCCTCGTGGGGTGTGTTCCAGGCATTTAAAAGCTCCGAGGAAGTCAGGGAACGGTTTGTCCAGGCCTACGAGCTCATGCTGGGGTTCTACGGGATCCAGCTGGAGGACCGAGACACTGGGCAGGTGTGCCGAGCACACAACTACCAGAAGCGCTTCCAGAACCTCAACTGGTAAGGACCCTCGCCCCACCCCAGCTGAGGGGGATGGGGCTGTGCCAGGTTCCAGACAGGTGTGGGGGAGCACTTCGGAGAAGGATTCCAGGGGCATTTGGGCAAGTGACTCAGGTTCTAAGCACCCTCCTCGTTTGCAGGGTGGAGGTGGTCCCAGCTGCTCGGGGTGTGAGAACCTAGGGAAATGCACCCCAGTCAGTTTCATTAGCGATGCCCCACCGCGCACATGGGTGTGGGTCAGGTTGCCCACAGCTCCAACGGCCTTGCAGGCCCAGGGCCTCACCCCTGCTGAGAAGCACTGGGTGGGGAGTTAGTGCATGGGGTGAATCTGCTGATGACACGCTCACCCCCGCACGTGGGTAACAGGCCCCTGGGCGAGGCCCCATGCTCTCGAGGGGCCCCCTCCGGCTCTCCCCCAGCGGTGCAGGGGCTGGGGGTGGGGGTTCCACGGGTCTTTTAGAAGCCCCCACCCGCACCCTCCGGGCCCACAGGCCATTTTCTCTGGGGCCCGGGTGAGGGGGTGGGGCGGAGACGCGGGGCGGCCAGCCGGGAGGAGGAGGCGGAGGGAGGCGGAGGAGGGGGAGGGAGGTGGAGGCGGAGGGAGGGGGAGGGAGGTGGAGGCGGAGGGAGGGGGAGGGAGGCGGAGGGAGGAGGGGGCGGAGGAGGGAGGTGGAGGCGGAGGAGGGGGAGGGAGGTGGAGGCGGAGGAGGGGGAGGAGGCGGAGGGGGGCGGAGGAGGCGGAGGGAGGTTGGAGGGGGGCGGAGGGAGGCGGAGGGAGGTTGGAGGGAGGAGGGGGCGGAGGGAGGAGGGGGCGGAGGGAGGCGGAGGGAGGAGGGGAGGGAGGAGGGGGCGGAGGGAGGAGGGGGGAGGAGGGGAGGGAGGAGGGGGCGGAGGGGGCGGAGGGAGGAGGGGCGTCCCGGCCACCGCCCTCCGCTCCCCGCCCCCGCCCCTCCAGGCACAGCCACAACAACCTCCGCCTCACGCGCATCCTCAAGTCCCTGGGCGAGCTGGGCCTGGAGCGCTACCAGGCGCCGCTGGCGCGCTTCTTCCTGGAGGAGACGCTGGTGCGCCGGGAGCTGCCGGCCGTGCGGCAGAGCGCGCTGGACTACTTCGTGTTCACCGTGCGCTGCCCGCGCCAGCGCCGCCAGCTGCTGCGCTTCGCCTGGGAGCACTTCCGGCCGCGGCGCCAGTTCGTCTGGGGGCCGCACGACAAGCTGCGCCGCCGGCGCCCGCCCCTGCCCGCCGGCGCCGGGAGCCCCGGGGACCCCCTCCGCCGGGCCGGCGCCTCGGGACAGAGCTGCGGGCCGGGGCGGGCGGACGGCGCGGACGGCGCGGACGGCGGGGCTGCGGGCCCCCCGCCGCCGCAGGGCGCCCTGGCGGGGGACCGGGAGGGGGAGGCGGGGGGCCGCGGAGAGGAGGGCCCGGAGCCCCCGAGCCCCAAGGAGAGCAAGAAGAGGAAGCTGGAGGCCAACCGGCGGGAGCAGGCCCCAGGGGAGCCGGGCGCCCAGAGCGCCTCGGACGTGGAGAAGATTGCTCTGAACCTGGAGGGCTGCGCCCTCAGCCACGGCAGCCTCGGCCGGGGGTCCCAGGAATTGGGCATCCGGGCCCCGGGGGAGGCCGAGCAGCCCTGCCCCCAGCCCCCAGGGGCCAAGGTGGCCGAAGAGGTGAGGAAGAGAAGGAAGGTGGACCAGGGCCCCTGGGACGGTGCCTCGGTGGGTGGCACTGGTGGAGACGGTGGGACCAAGAAGCCAGCCCCCGCCCGGCACCCTGCCGCGCCGGGCTGCCCTGAGGCCAGAGAGGGCGAGAATGGGGTGGAGGAGGCGGGAGGCTGGGCAGGGCTGGAGCAGGCTGCCCCCGGGGGCTCAGCCGCGGCAGCACCACGGGTAGACGAGGAGGCCGAGGCAGGGCCTTAGGCTAAACCCAGAGAGCCTTCAGGGAAGCCGCAGGTCTGGGGAGCCCCGTTGCCGGCTGTGGTCAGCTCCGTGCGGTACGGCCCCTCCCTGGTGGCCGCCGCCGCTGCCGGAAGCCAGGAACTTCGAATCCTTACCTCGAACTCACGCCCCAGCGCCTC